CCACTGTTTCTTTGGCTTGTTTGCAGAGGCAGCATTTGCTGTCTGTTGCTGTCTTCTCAATTCTGGCTTTATATGCATTTGTTCTTAAGGCCTGCCCTTTTTTCTTCTTCATCTGTCTGGTGTACTTGTAACATTCCACATTTACTTATGCTCCTTGGTAAGTAAAGTCATTGTTATTATTAGTATTGCCTTCAAGTTAGTTTTTGACTAGTCCCTGCAGTTTTCTGGCAACATTTTAGAAGTGGTTTGGGATTGCCTGCTTCCTAGGGCTGAGAGAGAGTGACTGGCACAAGGTCACCCAGCTGGCTTTGTGCCTAAGGTGGGACTAGAACTCACGCTCTCCTGGTTTCTAATCTGGTACCTTAACTACACTAAACTGGCTCTCTAAAGTATGACTAGGAATGCATAAATGTTAGGAATGTTTGAACCATTTGGAGGGAGGCTTTGTTAAGCTACATTTCTACACCTGGATCTTGAATCATCAAGGTTCTGTGTTGTCTGAAAAATTCAGCATGGCTGCTTCAAGTTCCTTGTAATCCTTGAGCTCATTGCGTGTGCTTGGAGAAAACAATTTCTTCTAGGATTGCTGCTGGAACCAAAACTGTACTGCCTCCACACCAAGGGTATCTGCAGAGTGGAATGGGAGTCAAAAATGTCAAGGTGGCACAATCAAAGTTTCACCCCTTTTTAATGTGGACATGACACAAGTAAAAAAGGGATGGAGCTTCAATCACATGGTCATGGCTGCCATCTTGACCTGCCTCCCCCAGCAGAGATCCCTGTATCACCCTGAGTAGCACAGAGTGGCATTTCAGGTCCTTTGGGGTTTGCCCCACAATGATGTCCATATTGGTTGCCAGTCCAAAGCGAGCATAAACAAGTAATAATTAGTTATCCACAAATCTAAAGAAATATGCACCAGATACCTGACATTTGGAATTTAATACTGCAAGTCAAAAATTAATGCTTCTATGACTTTATCACATAAGAATAATAGCATTTTAATCCACAGAGTCATAGCCATTTAATTTCTATTTATATGACAATTGCAATCGATTGTGTCTTTACACTTCCATTTTTCCATGATTTAATCTCAGCTAATCACCTGAATTACTATAGCATTAAATATTTTGCAAAGAATAAACATCTAGAAGCCTATTCACAAATATCTAAGTCTGAACAGTTAATACATTGGATTTAGATTGTCATAATTTGAAACGGCTAACTGAAGTTAATGAAACTTACCTAAGTCTGGTTGACTAACTTAAATCTCATTGGTTTCACTGTCTCTACATAAGATTGTCTTGAGCTAACCATTTCTTTTACCCCATACAAGAAATATTTCTTGAATAAAGTATAATAAATAGTGTTTAAAGTAAAAATCCTATAAAGTAAGTACTTATTTAAATTTCTGAGGCAAAATAAGATCCAGACATATATATTTAAATGACCACTAACATTAGAAATCTATTTTTTAAAGGCAAACCATTCATGGATTTTAAAAAAATTTTCCCAAGTCATATATTTGAAAGAAAATTTCAATTCATTTTTCAATTCATTACAAACAAACAAACAATGCATTATTTTATGGGCCACCCATTTTCTGTCTATCCAACTATGTTTATTTTATTATTTAATGTTTCAATTTATAGCCTGTATTTTTTTTCAAGACTTCAAGGAGGCAAGTGTATCATCTTCCTCCAATTTTTCTCAGAACAACTTGGTGAGGCAGGTTGTACTGAGATAAAACGATCAGCCCAAAACCACTAGGTTTGTTTTCGTGTCTAAGACAGCTTTGAACCCTGATCTCCTAGGTCTTCATCTGACTTCTTAAGCACCCACACTAGCTTCCTTATTTCATGTGGTATGTTTGAGCATAAAATTAAGGTTACACCAACTTGACATTGGAGAAAAGGTGAGATATGCATGTAAGTAAATAATAATAATAATACTAATACTAATAATAATAATAATAATAATAATAATAATA